AAAGTGCCAATGAAAAAGTGTTATTCGTTTTTTGATATCTTTTCAAATAAAGTCAGAAAAAAATAAAATTGATATTGTCAAATTCTCGTTTTTCCCAAATATCTCAGCAGGCCATGAAAATTCTTCAAGTTTCTAAACGGCATGTAAATAAGCTTTAAAGAACACAACTTTTTCCTAATTTAACCTAAGCTGTATCTCCAACAGGTACTGTTGGAGATACAGGTACACATACCAATGACGATGTCAGCTGCCGTAGCATACGAAACGTTTGGTACTTCGTACGTGATAACGTATGTCTTAAATTAAAAACAGTACCCATGTGGGCCCTTCAGGAAATTCTCGAAGTACAGCTATTTTGTCTTCTTCCGTCCAGATGAACGAAAACCCTGGTGAGTTTCCCCACCAATTTACTGAAAAATGCATGATCACTTTCATAACTGCCCCAAAACCAACTTCGTCGATTGCTTTCAGTTTTTCAGTTGGTAACTTTGGCAAAAACATATATTTTGCCCTTTCCTTCAGCACACCGACCGAAGGCGTTGTTATAACATGATCAGCTGTATACATTGAGTTATCTGAGCATTTGATCTTGATATTTCCTCCTCTTCTATGAGAGTTCCATGAGATTTGTGTCACCTCCTTATTGAGAAATATTTTGTCGTCAATCGGCAAACTTCGACGCGGGTCAGGATATTTTTTCATCATCACATCAAGAATAATTTTGTATCCCTTTCCATTGAAGTTCAAATGGAAGTCGCCATCACAATTTTTGAAATCGGTTATAAATGAAGAATCATACCAGGAAAAAGCACCTTCGTTAGATGAAATGAAGGACTCCAGTAATCCCAGGGCTTCATTAGCTATTTTTAGTTTGATAGGATTGGCGGAAAATTTATCTTGTATTGTTTTTCTATACCTGAAATTTTGCAAAAATCAACACATCATTTCAATGAATCAGGCTGAGTGCTTATACATTCGTAATTTTTTCAGGAATTTCTCCATGTCATTATATGTATTTTGGAGTCTACAGAGTCGCTCAAAAAAGCGTGACATATCAAAGTTGTGTTTTTTTTATGAAACACCGTGTATTTCGTTAGAATTTTGAATAGGCCGGGAAAAAATAATATGATTTCATATGAGGTACTATGTACCTAAATATAAGCGTTCTCGAGTTATTGATTTGTTTTATGAAGCTAGCTACAATTGGAAACTAAATAACATCAAAATATATAGAAATTATCCTTTCGAATTCTGACCAAGCATAAAAGAGGTTCAGTGCTATAGCTTTCGATAAAACCCGTTTCTCATTCATTATTAAGAATGTTCAAAAACCATTGTCGCTTATTCATAATTTCGTACAAATATAACTTCGTTGTTTCAAATAGAACACTCTATATTTTTTTGGTCTGAAGTGAATTATATAATTTTATCAAAAAAGGATTGCCCAAGCAAATAATAGAGTTAAAGAGACTTGGTCCATTATAAACGACTTTCGAGGACAGTGTAAAAATAAACGAGCAGAAATACCAATACCAATAGATGAACTTAACAAATATTATTGTTCAATAGCCGCCACTTTAACTAATAAATCTGACGCACCGTATGATCCGTATGAGAAATTACGCACGGTAATTTCTTACGAAAAACTAATTTTACACCCTACTAATGTTTGCGAATTATAGGCAATAATCGCTTCATTTAAAAATAAATCGACATAAAAATAAATCGGCATGGTAACGACGAACTATCCATGAAAATCTTTGATAATCTTTCTGCTACTGCTCTAAATGCTTTGGCGAAGGCAATCAATCATTCATTTCTAACGGGTTCATTTCCCTCGTTCTTAAAAACTTCGATCGTAATCCCTCTTTACAAAGGTGGTGATCTAGAGAATCCTTCGAACTATCACCCAATTTCTCTTATTCCGTCGTTAACAAAAATTATTGAAAAACTGGTAAAAATACGTTTAACAGAACATTAGAACTTCGGTAATATAATAACATTATAGTAACATTAATAAACGGGAGATTACAGCAGCAGTCTTTTGCGATTTCTCTAAAGCTTTTGACTGTGTAAATCACGAAATTCTGCTCAGGAAACTTTATCTATATGGTATTGAATAATGCATTGAAATACTTTAAAAAACTATTTAGGTTTGGTAGAGACCCCAAAAATGAAACAAAGGATAACTGAGTTTTATATTGCTCAGACAATATAAAACTATTTGAAATAACAGAGTTATCTTTGTCCGAAGTTATAAAAGAGTGACAATGACTTTTGAATATTCTGTATAATATTGATAAACAGGTTTCATCGAAATCAATAGCGCAAAACCTCTTTTATGTTTTGTCTATACAGTGTGTCAATTTGAAAACTTCCCACCCTCAATATCTCCCTTCCAGTACATAATATGAAAAAATGGTCAGACAGGTCAACTTTATTTGCAAGGGGGACACTCTGAATGAATATTTTCAACCCTCGGGGTTCAACCCCCTAGGAGGGGTGGATGTTACCCTCAGAATTTCAAATGGAAAGGGGGGTCAAGTGGCACATCATTTTGAAGGGCATTCAATTCTCTTGCCAATGATACCTTTTTCATTAGTTTTTGATGAGCAGTTTTTGAACAATAACGTTCCAAACGAACGGTGATTAGAAGTGAATAAGAATAAATGATTAAAACTCGCCCGCACTAGATGTTTGGTATTCAGGTTGGTATTCAAAACAAATGATTGTAATGGACTATTGGAAAAGGTGAGCATCGTACTAGGTAGCATCGTTCCAACCCTTGAGTAATATTCGAATTCGTGGATGTGAGAGGAATGTAGAACTACTTAGTTAACGAAATACGCATCGAGTGCAAACAAAAAATACTAAATTGCAAAAAACAAATTTCAACCATCTTGTTACGCTTTATCTGATAATATGTTCAAAATGTTGTCCATTCTGCTCTAAACAGTAATACAGTCTGTTTTCGAACTCCTCTCGAACATTTTGGAAAACTTCACCACTAATTGACCGGCATGCTGCTGTAATTCGTCCTTTGAGGTCATCCATATCAGTGGGCTGTGTTTTATAAACGACAGATTTGAGATATCCCCAAAGAAAAAAATCTAATGGAGTCAAATCCGGTGATCTCGGTGGCCACTCAATTGATCCCCTTCTGCCAATCCATCTCTCCCGGAATCGCTCGTTCAACCATTGTCGGACGGGGCGAAAATAATGAGGTGGCGCACCGTCCTGTTGGAAATGTAACAAATCTTCCTGCAACAGTAAATTACCGTGTGCATCAATTCGAGTTTCGAGCTCGTGAGTTATAAGTGGATCGATAGGTGCTTGAAGCATATCTAGGTACAGATCACCATTCAAGTTTTCTTCAAAAAATAAAGGTCCGATAATGGCATTTCCAAGAATACCAGCCCAAACATTAACTTTTTGTGGGTGTTGTGTATGTCCTTCTCGAAAATTGTGAGGGTTTTCGTCACTCCAATAGCGACAATTTTGCCTATTAACATTGCCATTCAGGAAAAATGAACATTCATCACTGAAACAGATATTGAACAGAAGATTAGGTAAAGCATTGATTCGAAGAGTCATGATTTCACAGAATTCTATTCTTCTGTCATAATCATCCTCATGGAGCTCGTGGAGAATCTGCATTTTATATGGATGAAATTTGTGCATTTTCAGTGCTTTCCTTACAGTCTCGTGTGACATTCCCGTCTGTTCTGCTACTGATCGTAAGGAGCTAGTCGGCTCTGCAGCAAATGTTCCCAACACCTCAATTTGAGCATCCTCATTCAGTACTCTGGGGTTATTCCTTTTTTTATTCTTCACCGAACCAGTTTCGGAAAACTTTGTCACCAAATCAAGCACATACCGGTGACTTATATTAAGATTTGGATTTCTTTCATTAAAAAGAGATGCCGCCCTTCGTGCGCACTTGCCCACCTCTCGATAAATAAAAATTATTTCAATTCGGTCTTGGATAGTGTAAACCATTCTTACAATTTATACACTTTCTAAGGTATCGCTGATCAGCTCAACAAATGAAACTGAAATGATAGTACTACCAAATGGCTTGAATGCGATGAACACCTTTTTTGCTCAAAAAACGATACTTTTTATAGCAGAAGTAACAAAAAAGGGATAAGAGTTTTAAATCCGATAATAAACCCAAATGAAAGTCACCGAAATCAGATAACTAATTAATGTAAATTTTTTGAGGCTTGTCTAATTTTACCCCTGATGGAAAGTTGAAAAGCTGACCCGTCATCACAAGTTTTACTTATAAGAGAGTCAATAAATTGTATTTCTTTGCATACTAACTTGATAACCAGGCATTTTAGTATAGGCCAATTCTAATTACTTCTATTAGTTTAGAACTACATTTTCGGATACTGCTGATCGGAAAATAATAAATGAGGGCACCGTCGGCAAGCGAATTGAATGCCCTTCAAAATGATGTGCCACTTGACCCCCCTTTCCATTTGAAATTCTGAGGGTAACATCCACCCCTCCTAGGGGGTTGAACCCCGAGGGTTGAAAATATTCATTCAGAGTGTCCCCCTTGCAAATAAAGTTGACCTGTCTGACCATTTTTTCATATTATGTACTGGAAGGGAGATATTGAGGGTGGGAAGTTTTCAAATTGACACACTGTATATATCCCAGCAATTTTCAAGTTGATGGAATTAATCAATTACGTTGGCAATCAAATTCCATTAATGGAATCAAATTCCATTAAATTGAATGAGTATTAAATTGATATTACAGTTCAAACTAGCCTCATAAAAAAGAAGACAACTTTTAAAATAACCTGATGCTGTTGAATTAACTTACCTCTGCTCGCAAACTTCTCCAACAGATTTATATTTGTCTTTTGAATCAGAAGATGGAAGATCGCTCATTTCGTAAAATATACCCATCAATTCTTTCCCAAATGTCTCTTCAATTTCTTCTCGTGATGATAGGAAGAAAGACTCCGCAACCTTCGTCGAATTCAACAAGTGCAAATCTTTCACCATATTATAAACGATATTACCATCTTCGCCGTGACACCATCTAGCGCCCAGGTCTACGTAAGAGTCACCAAATTTCACGCTTTTTATTCGTCCTCCGATTCTTGGTTCAGCTTCCAGGATTTTGATGTTTGTTAAATTATTTTCCAGTAATTTTGTGGCTGCCGCTATACCTGCTGGCCCCGCTCCTATAATTATAATCGAGGGGGATGCTTCAATATTTGTCACTGATATAAATAATGCAATTATTATGTAACGCAAATTCTCCATATTATTATCGCAAGATACGAATAGTTTTTGACTATTTGTCGTTGAATGAATTATATACAGATAAACTTTGGGGTCAAGTAAATCAGTGATAAAGCAGATTTTTATAAACTCGGTTGCGTCACTCATAAAATTATTAATAGTATACGTGGTCCCATCATTTATTTTGTGAACTGGAAAATTTTAAATGAAAGTTTTGGAGAGGTCGGGAAATATTTTGCACTACATAAGTGCATTTTTTATGTTTTTATTGAAGTGTCCCATTGCAAATTAGATTGGTAGACAACCCACACACCGCAGAAATATTTAATGGCTACCACGAATATTTTGAATGAAAAAAGTCAAATGAACCTCGAACACTTGTTGAAATTTTTTCCTAAGTGGAATGTATGATGAATATGCAATATTCAGTGTGGAAACATAAAAACCGTATCTCCGTAACAGAGATATATTTCGGATAATCTTCAAGAATCTATTTCCAACCTTCTTTCAGCCTCCTGTCCTGTGAATCAACCCCTTCTACATTTTTTCAATTCTAGGGGAGATCTAAGAGAATTGTAACATATGAAATAATGTTGCACCGTTCCATAACTTCACAAAACAATTATTGAAATTAATTAAATATTATGGTTACTGGAAAATAAACCAATACAGAGATTACTCATTCTGTCACGACTCTACTATCATCGAGGTAAGTTGTGATAGCTTTGTATTCAGATTATTTGACTACTATAAAATATCATTATGAATATTACAGATATATCAAACATTCTCTTTTTGCAAAAAAGTATGTAATTATCAACAAAAACAATATATAACATTCCCATAACAAGTAATTATATCTTATACTAGGTACATGGGCTGGAAGGTCTTGGGCCTAACACATAGATGGCGCTGTCTTATTGCATTTACCGCTTTTTCAGCTACTACTAACCTTGAAAAGAAAGCTGTTGAAATTTGGTGATGAGTTTGTGAGTTATTTTTTTAAGAGTGATACTACTTTGGTTATTAAAACAATGTGAATTGTCAACAATTGTTGACAATGATCAGTACGAAAAACATAGCGATACTGACGCATGCTCACAGAAAAAACTTTGACAAGATGGCTTTTTCGCCGTCGTGTTGTGATCGGGAAAAAGCGCGTTTTCTGAAGACCTCATACTTATAATTCTATGTAATATGACTCAATTACTGGTACACATTCCAGAAATTCATTTTCTATCATCGACAAAATCAAGTAAACATAACTTGGCATGAACGACCTTGTTAAAAAAAAAAATTAAACACTACAGCTTATCATCGAAGATAAGATTGTTACCACTTCATATAGGAACAATTGGTTCCAGTGTAAATTTGCTTGTTTCTGAAAACGAATCTACTGGTGCATAATATAATGATTCTGGTTCTGAACACGCTTTTTGCTATGGTATGTATCGGGTGAGGTTGTGTTAAAAAACTAGACTATATTAGTAAGATTGGAAAAATTATGACGCGAGGAAACCATATTCGATTGGTTTTCAACATTGAGTTCTTATTGAAGTTGGAATTTTCATCATCAAAAATCAGGAGTCCTGGAGAATGACAGAGTTGAAAGCAATTTGATGTTGATGATGTGCATTTACTAGATTCCTATGTTATGTTTACAAATGTATGAATAATTTTCTTTCAACTCATCAAAACAAATACTGTTGAATAATACTTGAATAAAAGTAATTATCTACCTGCCCGTGTAGTTTTAGAGTTGTTGAGGAAAATACTCAAATTATATTTCAATTCTAATGTAATTTATAATAATAACTTCTCAAATAGGAAAAAAAGTAATTATTAATTATTGTTTTTTTTAAACATTCCATACATTTATCATTGTGGAAATAAAAAAAATACAAGAACTACAACTTACAATTTCAATTGTCTTCTCTTTTTTCATCGTCGCCTTCCAACTGCTGTAGTACTTCAAAATTCTATTCTTCTTAGTTTTCAACTCAATTTATCTCTAGGTTCTCCATGACTTCGGAGTCACAGGTTCTGTCTTCATTGACATCGCACTGATATGGTAAAGCATTGACACAAGCCTGTCTATTACACTGGTCACAAGCTAAAACGCACTGTAACCCCGATTTCCTGCAACCACATCTCGAACCACAACCACTCTTGCAGTTGCAGAATATTGTGTTGAGCAATTGCTCTGAAGCAAGTGCTAAAATCGTTGTGATAGGTTCCAATAATTCGTTATTGTCCAACCCAATTCCTGGGGTTCCAAATCATGCCCCAACAAAATTTGAACTTGATAGTAAACCCGATTGAAATGTTGGTGAGCTGCTGCACTTGTTGGTGGAATTATTGATAACTGCACAGGTTTATTCAGTTTTGTAGACTTGACGTATTCTGCATAACGAAGATGATCGATACTGTTCACAGGTTTTGGATCACTATAGACTGCTAACAAGATTTGAATTCCATTCTCGAATAATCTTTGAACCGGACAGTTTTCTTCTTCTAATGCTGCTGCATTGCATAAGTTGTCCCTTAATTATTTCAATTAATCGGAATCGGTTATAAGACTTATTGAATAGATAGATATTTAATTAATGAAATATAATGTAATAGTTATTGGGAAATGAGAATTATCAATAATAATTAATAAACTAATAATAGGCGTGTTTTTGACCGGGACTACCGGTCGATACTCTAACCGCACGCTCTACGCCCTATAAAAATTGTGATTTCATGATTTTTGTGACCTTCGACCTTAGATTTTCAAACTTTCAAAACTTACCATATGTAGGTTTTGGTACAACTTTTAGGCGCGGTTCCCACTGGAGCGATCGCAATCCTACACCGATAATAATCAAAGTTGTCGCGACCGGACACAGCTGTCCGGTCGCTTAAGTAAAAGAAAGACGCAATATCGTGCAATCCTCTATTTCCTTCGTGGAATTGGTGGAGCAGAACCCGTGCTTCTCCAGTCCCCTTGACGTCAATCTCAATAAAACATGGTAACTATTTGAGCTCATTCTATAAAACTCTCTAAATTTCTGTTCATGGCTTCGCTTATCGTATCGCTCCAGTGGGAATCTCAAAATTCCGAAATACTTGCCTGATTTTGACTAAGATGACTGGAAGAGTATTGCATTTCTGATAATTGGAAAAAGCACTTGTTTTTTAATCAGTTGGTATTTGTTAAAATTTCTGCACCCTTTGAATAGGAAGCAGATATTTTGGAAAAGAACTCGATTGAGCCGAGTTAGAAATGAATGTCGAAATTATGAATTGAAATATAGAAAATACATTTCCATTTTTTTTCATTAACGACTAATCAAGCTGAATATATAGGAGTTCCTGAAGGGCTCCATAGACATGGCAGTCTTCACAAAACATGTTTTGTCATTGGGAGGATCAAATGCTTTCATTGGGGTGCTTGGAACATGCGTTGCATTTATAGGCTTCATATGGAAACCGATTGCGGTGAGTATAGTTACACAGTTGAAATTTCTCCATTAGTGAAGAATTTGGGTCATTTTTCATAATCATAATTACTACAGACTGAAGTTATAGTCTAGATATGGGAGTTGGTACAGAAGAAGTAATGAAATAAAAAAGTTTTACTGACTATTTGAATTCAACTCTACAAAAATTTGGTTTTTGAAAGATTGTTTTTGCTTGGAATAACTTTTAAGAGTTGTAGTATCAGATTCTGAACAACTTTGGTGGATTTCATTAATTCGGACTTCCATTGTCTAATATGATTCTACTGTGATTCGAATTGTATGAAAGAACAAACAAAATCAGCTACAATATCAATTAATTGAGCAATAAAACGTGAAATGGTGGATTTGGAACAGAAGATTAACAAAAGTAATTAATTAATCAAACTGAACTTTTTAGTTCACTTGTTTGAGAATTTAAATCACTCTAAAAACATCATCGGGACTCACGAATCTGTTTATCCCCGCTTTTGAAGCAGCAAAGATTGACTCTATATTGGATGTATGGAAACTCAGAAATCACAAGCAATAAAATAGCTGATGAGCGTGTTTAACACAGACCATCAACTCCATGTAAGGACCTTGAATCGAATTGTGAGATACCAAAATCGTACGGGATCTGATCAAAAACGGGTCAATTAGAGAATGTAAAAAGTACTAAGAAACAAAAGGGGTATATTTTCAGGGGAGATTTGGGAAGTGAAAAAACCAAAACTTTCCTTTCCCAAAAACCTGTACAAAGAAAACGATATTGTGAATATATGGGAGAAAAAACGTGCCATACCCACCAAGCCGAGGTATTTTTCAGAGCCTTGGAAGAAATTGAAAAGTAGAACAGTTCCCGAAGAACAGAAAAAACTATTTAGCTTAATTTTCTATAACGTCGACTGGGGGGAACTTATCAGAGTTTAAATTATATCACCGTGGCTTCCACTGAGGAGAAATTCACCAATAATTGCTGAATAATACTACTTTTTGAAGGGTAACGTTTTGTAAAAACTGAAAACAAATTTTCCAAACATCCACTGACTGCCGAGGAACGAGTCATCATATACATTTTATCGTTAATGTTTCTAGGGGCAAATGAGTGATTCCAAGGGAGCTACACGAGTATTACCATGGTGTCTCTTTACAAATGCGTTTGGAGCTATGTTGATAGGATACGCGACATCACTAAATTTAATTTGCCTAGGAAAAGTATTATGCGGTGAGTTACGCATCTTTCATTTTCTTCATTATTTTTTCAGCAAATTCAGCAGGAATTTCAATATGTCGTACAACAAGTCCAACGGTAGAAGTTTCCCCGAAAAAGTATTTTGAAAATTTTTGAAAATTTGAATCGTTTTCCATTGACACACACTGACAATTTATTATTCGTTCAGTTCGGTTGGAATTTAGAAAATACTGATTTTCATTGGAGAGTTGAAAATATCCAAATCTCACGTACAATCAATTTTCAACACCTCAATAATTGCTTATGTCATTTTTCAGTATTTGGATCATGCGTGCCATCATTACTAAACACCGTCCTCACAACACTGAAAAAGGAAGACCGAACTAAAGTTTTGAACAAAATGAATATATCAGCCGGTCTAGCAATAATGAGCGGTGGATTGACCGGAGGATATATTAGCGATTTTGGAGTAATTTATGCTTATTTATTTACTTCGACATTGTGCTACCTATCTATAAGTAAGTATATCGTTCACAGTCGAACGGTGATATTTGAAAACGAACTATTTTTTTTGTATGAAAAACAATAAGCCAACCTATATTCCCACGAGAGTTTTCCAAAATCCAGAATTCAATTAGTTTACAGGGCATAAAGCTAGCTATCGGGCTTGCTTACTAGAACTTTACTTCAATTTACATTTACAGCAAGGATTATTATCTGCACATTTAGTACAATTGATATCTGATCAACCTGAAATGGCACTAAAGGTTTTTTAAGAACTTTCTCGCTACTCGATTTGCTATTTCGTCAAATAGAGCGAAAACTGTTTTATTCAATAATAAAAAATAACCACTGAATTGCATGCATCTTATAAGGCTCAGTGCTTTCCCTAAATCTTTCTCAAGGTTGTTAGATTGAGAATTGTACATCTTCAAAGCTCCCTTTCAGAGAAGTGTATAAAAAATCGAAAATACACGGGGAACAGTTTCAAAGAATATTTTTCGCTCCTATATCGGGGGTAGATTTTATCCCTAGCATCTGCAATAGAAATACAAGTGAAGCAATTCACTATTTTAAAGAAATCTCTGATTTCTTTTTCCCTTAATTCGTTATTTTTCGTCGAGCAATTTCCGAAACACCTTGTTTTAAAATTCCAGAATAAGATTAGAATTGGCCTACACTTGAAATCATGGTGTTTAAGTTATTATTCGATTACGAATTCTTCCAGTAGAAATGGTTAGAAGGGCAAGGTAAGTTTGAGTTCTTCAAAAAAGATTTAGCCCAGCTAATACTGCTATCATAACTGCTATTGGTTGATGAGATAAATCATTCACTTCCTCGAACCGCCAAATTCAAGTTATCTATCAATCAATCAATCAATCAAAATACACTTTATTGTCTAAAAAACTCTTGTTTTGTTGACAAAGTAGAATATACACGTACAAAAAAAATTTAGGCAAAATACACACAATTATGTAAAATATAAATAAAATAGAATAAAAATAAAAATAAAATTGTTATATAAACAAACAGTATATAAAATATCAATCATAAAATGTTATTTGAACATTTTGTCACTTTTACGACTTATAATTTAACAGTCTAATCGAGTATGTACAGTACCCGCAATAAATTACAATTTCACTGGAAGTTGTCATTGTAAAATTCTTGCAAACTATAATAGGGTCTGCTTGCGAGAAGTTTTTTTGTGTATTTTCTAAAGCTGTCAATACCATCGTAGCTATTTCTAAAATGAGACGGTAAGTGATTATACATTTTAACATCGTTATAGAAAATGGAGTCCTTTTTTAGGGATGAAGAAGGCAATGGTAATTTAAAATTATTTTTAAATTTTAGGCGAGTGCTATGACACGAAGAAATATATTCAAATTTTGACCTAAGTTTGTGTATAAGACACGCAGTTTCCATTACAAAGAGAGCCACAACTGTAAATATATTTTTTTCTGCAAATAACTGCCTACATGAATAGCGCGGTCCTAGTTTGAACACATATCTAATGGCTCTCTTTTGCAGTTTAAGTACTGAATCTAGCAGACTAGAGTTACATACCCCCAGAAAGGAAAGGCATATCTCAGTTGAAATTCAATTAATGCATAATATGCGTTCATAGCCGTGGCAGTACCAAGTTCCCTTGAAATAATTCTCATTGCATAGCACCCTGAGGAGATTTCATTCTTCAATTGGTTGACGTGTGCTTCAAACTTCAATTTACTGTCAATATATAGGCCCAAAAATTTTGTGCAGTCTTTATTTTCAATCTTCTCATTTTCTAGAGGCATATCTTCTAAAGTACATTTGAAAGTTGATATATTTGTTTTTCTTATATTAAAAGAGAGAAGATTCGAGTCGCACCAAGACTTGATTACATTAATATCTCTGCTTATCTTATTAGTCAAATTTTCAACAGTTTTACTATGCCATAAAATGGTGGTGTCGTCAGCAAATAAGGTAATTTTTCCAGAAGTATTTATACACAGTAAATCATTGATATATATAAGAAAAAGAGTGGGTCCCAAAACCGATCCTTGTGGCACTCCATAATCTATATTAATATATTTTGAAGTTATATCACTTTTTACGACTTGACTGCGCCCAGTTAGGTAGGATTCGAACCAATCCAAAGTAACTCCCTCACAGCCGTAGCAATGTAGTTTCCGCAAAAGTATTTTGTGGTCTACACAGTCGAAAGCCTTTTTTTAGGTCACAAAATACTGCTGCAGCTACATCTCCGGCATTTATATCTGAATATACTTTATAAAGGAAGGAAAAAATTGCATCTTGGGTGTTCTTTTTAGCCTGAAATCCAAATTGATTTTCTTTGATGATTTTATGAGCAATAAGGAATTCATTGAGCCTTTTTTTTCACTAGTTTTTCAATTATTTTTGCTAGGGTTGGTATAAGTGATATTGGACGATAGTTAGAAGGATCATCTAAGTTTCCGCCTTTGTGCAAGGGAATTATCGAAGACTTTTTCAAGAATGTAGGTAATTTACCGTTGTGAAACGAAAGATTAATTAATTCGACAAGAGTTTCAAGCGCTACTCTTGGAAGATTCTGAAATATATTCATGGAGATGTCATCCAGATGATTTTTTATTCCTAATATCCCTAAACACTTCGATAATTTCATCAAAACTAGTATCGTATAATGTAAAAGTATCTCCTGTATGACAGTTATGAACACTGATTGACATTTTAACACTGTTCCTTTTTTTAGGATTCTCTCTCAGGTCATTTACTATGGACCACGTCTCCTTCATTTTATTATTCGCAGAGTTAATTCTATTTTGGAAATAGCTAGATTTAACAAGCTTGAGAATAGTTCGGTAAATTCTACGGTAGTTATTAAAGTAGGCATGGAAATCTGGATTTAAGCTGAACTTTCTTATATAACTAAGGAACCGTAGATTTCTTGAGGACGTCTTAATTCCAGGTGTTATCCAGGGTTTTTTACGCTTTATTTTAATTTTCTGTATAGGAGATGATGCACTGAAAAGTTCTGAAAGTTTGTTATAAAAAGCAACAAATGGTTCATTTAAAAGTAAGACTTGTTCCCAGTCAAATTCAAGACAATTCTCACTCAGACCTAATTCAAACCTATCTAACCCTTTGTATAGAAAGAATCCCAGCCTAATATCAATGTATGTGATCATCAGATCTCTTGATCATCTTCAGAAAATCAATTGTTTACTGTTGATCTGGCTCGAGAGAATGTAGAATAAATCTGGTTCGAGTTCAATAATGAAATTAGTCATTCTGTTTACTTGTTCTAGTATTAACACGTCAACTCCCAGAAACTGGCCCGAGCAAAAAGGAAGATGAGACGGCACAAAACAAAGGTTTCCAGGAACATATGAAGTCAACTTTGAATAATCTGAGGAATATAATCACATCAGACAGATACTGGGATGTGTTTGCTATCAAAGGATGTTTAGAAATGATTTATTCACTGCTTCAAAAAAGTATTGTCTACTTGTGGATTGTTTTGCATCATCTGAGTGGCAAACAAATGGGTTTGACATTAGCTTTCTCAAGCTCATTCGGTATGATAACGAATCTCGCGATGATAAAATTAAACAAAATCATTTATCCCAGTGACGATTCTTTCGTTAAACTGAAACATGGAAGTTTACTGATGACATTATCATTCATGGGTTTCTATTTGACCACAAATTTCAAGCTACATATCTTTTTTGGGATTACGGCTAGTATGTCAAGGGCCATCATGGAACCAGCCATAATGGGTCTGATGCTGGAAAAGGTAGAAGGAAGCAACAAAGGTGTGGTGATGAGCTCTTTCGATAGTCTTCGGTCGCTCATTGAAATTTGTAGTCCTCTGTTGATGGGTGTTCTCGTAGAAGTTCTAGGACCACAAGGAGTATTCCTGTTTAGTGCTTTTTTGGCAATTGTTGTACTCAGTATCAGCATCTTGAGAAAACATTGAGGTGATGACTGTCAAAATTATGGAGGCGCAAAAGAGACCCAAATTTTTTTATATGTTTCCTGGCAGTTTCAAATTTCGATAAATGTCGACTTTAAACTTGAAATTTCGAGATTGAGGTCAAAATTTCGACTCCTACCTCAAAATTTTGACTTCAAACTTGAAACTTCGAGATTTAAGTCCAAATTTCAAGTTGAGAAATGAAATTTTGAGTTCTGTTTATTAGTACCTAGTATCAAAATTTCAGAATGAAACATTTTGTATAGAATGAAATATTTTCAAATTGAAATAGGAAGTAGAATCAAAAATGTTTTCTAAACTTTGAATAAACATGTATATCTGATATATACAAAAACTACGACTTACTTACTGACTCACTAACTGACTTACTGACCGACTCGCTGACTGACTGACTGACTAACTCGCTGACTAACTCACCGATTGTCTCACTGACTCACCTACCAACTGACTGACTCACTGACTCAGCGACTGACTCGGCAACTGACCCACTGACTGAATATTTTAGTTATGGATTTTCATCAAGTATCGGCCAATTCCATCATATAAACTGACTGACTCACCGACTGACTCACCGGCTGACTGACTCGGCAACTGACCCACTGACTGAATACTTTAGTTATGGATTTTCATCAAGTATCGGCCAATTCCATCATATAAACTGACTGACTCACTGACTGACTCATCGGCTGACTCACTGACTCACCGACTGACTGACCCACTGAACTGAATATGTGAGGTTATTTGAAAATACGAGTACTGCAATATTTGTATTTTGGCTTGAGGTTTACGACTGATGGACGCTTTTTAGGATTGAAAAGTTTTTTCAATTGTTCTAGGTTTTTGTGTTCCACGTAATTCGAACAATCAAATGTTTATTGACTATATTCTGCATGAATCACAATTTACGTTGTTACCTTGAAGAATTGTCAACGCTGTACCGTAAATCAAATAACATTATTTTGGAAAAGCTTCACATCCGAATGAAATCACGTAGGTCATGTTTGATAAGCATAAAAAATTAAACACATTTTGAACTTTTTTTAACCCACTTAGCATTTATAGCCGCACCATTAACTGAAGCTATAATCAGAATACAAAATCACAATATAAAAAATAAAATATAAAATAGTGTTAGACGTCACTGAAAAAATTGTGCAAAAAATATTAATCACGTATCAAAGGTTTACAAAGTAGGATTTTTCGAATGATGGGTTCTGATAACGCGAACAAAACACGTTATCTATCAACTTTTGACCTGAAGAATTAATATTTATAAGCAAATCCATTATCATTTCATTATGGATTCAACAAAACGTTAGTCAATTTAAAGTTGGCCATACACATAAAGATATATCGAATTGAAGAATGAATATTTTCAGTTTTTTGGTAAACTATTTTCGGCTTTATTATTCGCTGTCACTGTATAAAAAATATGGACACTTCCAAAGAAAGAAAGTGATCAACTTCACAGATGAACTCTTCACAAAAATATGTACATCCACATGAGTTTTCGCCAGTTACAAAATTAAAGAAAAAGTCCTACACTCATACGAACATTAGATTATTCGGAAATCCCTTTTTTTCAAAGGAACTTGGAATATTTTCAATTTTGGTTAGAAAAGTGGATGTTGTCATGATTTCATTTCGATCTAATAGAGCTTTGAGCAGATACTTTATTACCTGGAGAATGTGGGTTAACAATAAATTTGTTGTTCGTAAGTGACGGGAGTTTTTTTGAATAAATACCCGACGCACGTCACTGCAGGTAGAGAACGACCCGAATGATCATGAATTTTTTTTGCGACCCGTTTGTGTTACAGAAAACACAAAATTCTGTTGTCATCTATAATGAGAATTCATTATTTTGTACTACTAGGAAACAAAGTATATCGATAGATATAATAATGATCCATTAGAAATATAAAAAACCCTACATTATCAATCGGTTTGTCTAGTAATAAACTAATAGTGTTGTCGTTGTATAAATAGCCCTCTAATCTATATGTAGTGTTGTAAACTGACGATAAATCGATATCTGCGTGTGCGGCCAGCTAATATACTTGTTCAAATAACGAGTTTTGCATCGTTCTTTATCACATTCTCAAACATTCACTGATATTCGTTTGATTGATCTGAATAATTTAAAACAAGTAGTATTTGTTTACCAAGAGTGAGGATCATAGTTTATCGTGAATCTTTTACAAGCAGTCGATATCAAGTTACTCTCATGAGAGCATTTCGCTCAACTACATCGCTACGATAATTTCAAACATTTCTTGAAACTATATAATCATTCTTATATAATATTCTACCCATATAATGCCTCCAAGGTCGGATTTTGTGCCAAAATCTTCTCTTGGAATTGTTCCACCTGCAACTAGATCGAAATCTACACAGTTGACCGTAGATGTGTGGTTGGAAGACAAAAAACAGACAGACGGAGCAGAAGGTCTGTGGCGGGTTCATGATGGAATATACGACTTGACAGACTTCGTCAAGAAACATCCAGGAGGATCAGAGTGGTTGGAACTCACAAAGGTTAGTAGAATTGAAAAATTGGAAAAATGATTGAACTTCATGCATTACATGAAAAAATATGCAGTGACACTGCCATTGGTTTTTGCTCTGTGATCAACTAGTTCCAAAATTGAGCTCATTAACCTATCTTTTCATCAACTTGAGAAATGTTCTCAACATAAACCAACTTATGGCTGTTTGTTTAAAGGTGATTGACAATGTTTCATGATGAATTTCACTAGTTCGGACTTCCATTGTCTACTATATAAAATGATTTGAAATCCCTGAAACAACTAAAAAAGAAGAATTGAAAATGAATAGCTGAAAATAACAATTATATTAACCAAAATAAAACTGAAATGAAATAATAGTGAAATAAAATACAAGTAAGAATAGAACAATTGAATGAATAAAAATAAAGAAATGAAAAAAGAAAATAAAAATAAAAAGTGGAGAGATTCCAAGTCACGTTAGTTCACGACGTTTCTATTGTTAGTATCTACAATCGTCTTCGGGTGATGACTGGACTGACTCCTCCAACAGATGACTATTTATAGGTCGTTCGAGTACTTTCACTTATCCCCGCTTTCAATTTTCCGCTTCACTGGTTCCGTGGGAGATGACTGTTTTGGCGGGAGTATGCCATTTTTCGCTTGATGATGGGTTTCCATATGTTGCGTATTTCGCTGGCTTGGCTGAATACGTTGTTGGACAACATGTATACGGCTTCCTTGAATTTTCTCATAAACCAATGTTCATCTCAGCTTGGAACCACTCGATGTTGTGTTGATGGGTCCAAACATGGTCTGCTATTCCTGATTTGCTGGTTTCCCCTCGCTGTGTGTGTTTCTTGTGCTCGGCAATGCGAACATTCAATGGCCTCTTAGTTTCACCAATATAGGATTTTCCGCACTCACAGGGTATCCGGTGAATGCAATTCTTGGAATCGCAGTCCGCATTTGGTGGCCTGGTTTTCGTGAGGCTGCTACGGATAGTGTTACCAGATCTGAAGCAGGTTCTGATGTTGTACTTGGAACCAATTCTTCTTATCCTCTCCGATAATCCTCTGATGTAGAGAAGTGCAAGCACTGGTTGTGACTGCTTCTCTTCCTTGCGAGGCTCCTGCTGTCTTCCAGCCAAAGTCTTTTCTACCATCGCTTTGGAGTAGCCATTCCGTTGAAGATCATTTTTGATGATGTCTAGTTCCTTCTCGAGACCTTCCTTCGTATTACAAAGCCCAAAAGCACGGTTTAATAGAATCTTGATGATTCCTCTTCTAGTCGATTGATGGTGGTTGGATTCGTGGTTCAGATACTGTCTCGTATGAGTGGGTTTTCGGTATACAGATGTTTCCCACTTAGTGTCGGTCCTCTTCACCAAAACGTCTAAGAATGGCAATTCGTTGTGGATTTCCTTCTCCATTGTGAAATTGATGGAAGGTCTCACGCTGTTGATGTGTTTCAGGAAGGCGTCTAGTTCAGTATTTCCATAGTTCAATATTATGAAGGTGTCGTCAACATATCTCAACCAGACTCGAGGTTTCTTGTGGGCTTCTTCAATGGCCAGAGTTTCAAACCACTCCATATATATGTTGGCTATGACTGGTGAAAGTGGCGATCCCATTGGCAGTCCCTCATCTTGTGTAAAGAATTCGTCCTTCAGTTGGAAATAACAGTTTCGTACACAGCATCCTAGTAATTCCATGATTACTTCTATAGGTAGATTCGTTCTCTCTTTCAGGTTCCCGTCTTCGGATAGCTTCCTCTGTATGATTTGGAGTGCTTCTTCGACCGGAACGTTGGTGTAGTAAAGGCTTTCCACGTCGAAACTAATTAGTTGATCTTCCTGTGTGACCTCGATTGACCCTAGTAGTACGACAAAATGCCTTGAATTCTCCACAAAAGACGATGTTTTTCCTTGTAATGGTTGTATTAAAGGAAGTAAAAATCTAGACAAGTTTTGAGTAGCCGAATCTCTGGAGCTGATGATCGGTCTAAGCGGAACGTCCTTCTTGTGGATTTTGGGTAGTCCATACAAGTGAGGGGGCTTACTGTGGTGCGGTGTTAGCGATGATCTTTCCTTGTCCGAAAAATAGACTTGGTGTTTTTTCAAAATCTGGTACAACTTCCTTTCGATTGATGCAGTAGGGTCCCGTACGATCTTTGTGTATCGTCCCTTCTGAAGAACCTCTTCGATCTTCTGTTCGTAGAGAACGATATCCATTACCACAGTAGCGTTTCCTTTATCTGCAGGTAGGATCTTGATGGTGTTGTCTCTACGTAGGCCGTTCAGAGCTCTACGTTCTTCATTGCTGATGTTAGATGTTGGAACTGGTTTCTCGATCCAGCTGTTCTCTAATTTTCCATCTGAACTCTTCTGGTCAATAAGGAAACTGGTGGATTCCACTGCAGTAATTGTCTCCAAAGTGGGCACAGATGTTGGCGTAATGGCGAAATTCAGGCCTTTTCTCAACAAGGATTCCTCTATTCCCGTGAGCGGGCGGGAACTCATGTTGATGACGTTGATGGCTTCACAGTTGTCCTGTTCTTGGCCTATATTTGAGCATTGTTTCCTCACTAACTTCCCCCACTTTCTGTTGTGGGTATTCTTCATGTCTTGTCGGATCTTTAAGCACGTGCTTTCGATTTTGGCAAAGATTGGTCCATGATCATCTTCCAAAGTCTCTCTTCTTATCTCTTCAAATCGTTCCGTGGCATCCTGCAACAAAGTTGACCTCTTCCAACGGTGATAATTATTATTTTCAGGTAATCATTTTTAATTCTTCTTTTTTAGTTGTTTCAGGGATTTCAAATCATTTTATATAGTAGACAATGGAAGTCCGAACTAGTGAAATTCATTATGGCTGTTTATTATGCCCAGGTCGAATCCAGGTGCCAGGTGTATGCCTGTGGGTCAACTCTACAATGAACAAAAATTTATTTATCTAATAAAAAGCTCTTCTACGCTGTTTCTTCAACGTTCCTCGACAGTATTCATGCAGAAACATTTTCATTACACATGAAACTTTAACCACAGTAGAATAAAACAACCAATAAGCTACGTGATCCACCCGAGTTGCCGGGGACTGGCTCTTGGGACGAGATTCTCATCCAACGCGTTCAGTGCTGTAGTATCGAAGGATTCGACGGTACCATGGACATCGAATTAGTTATAATAAACGGTCGGAAGTTGATATTGTGTTTATTTGCTGTTGTTATTATCGTTTTTAGTTTTTGTAGTTGGTTATAATTAATTTACCACAAAATATTATATAATAACCTTAAATTTCGTTTTTATATGAACGCACGCCTATGGTAAGAGAAAAATTGGCTCCACACTTGGTTTCGAGGTCATCGAGAACTTGGCGAATTTATGAAAGTAGTGGGAGTGGACTTACTGGTTGATTTTTACTATGATATTGCATTTAACAAACTCATCTCCTGATGATGCTAACTTGGTTACAAAAACGCTCGTCGGAAGACAGTGTTTTGATTCTGATGTGGGATTTTTTTTTCAAAATCGAATTTGGGACAAGTAATTTTTTTCAGGGTCATGACATCACAGAAGCATTCGAAGCTCATCACATATCAGATATTCCTGAAGAAATGCTCAAGAAATACTACAAATCAAAAGCGAAAACAAAAAGAAATGCTCCCTTCACGTTCGAGAAAGACGGTTTTTATCTAACACTCAAAAGAGAAGTGAAGGAAGCCCTGAAGAAGGTGCCGAAGCAAGCATACAATAACACAAATTTCTTCTCCGACGCCTTGTTATTCTTCACATTTCTGTTTTCGATACTAGCAGTGAGGTTTTGGAGTTTTGGGGTTGGTATCATAGCAGGAGCGTGCTTGGCGATGCTAACTGTGGCGGCTCATAATTATCTTCATCAAAAAGACAATTTCAGGATGTACTACTTCCAATTTGCATTGCAACAAGTCAGGTAAGATTTTTTAAAGGTTCAGACCTAATACTGAAAATTTGCGAAGCATAAAAATTCAAAGTTGCCCATACAAGAAATGAAGAAAAAGTGTCTAACAACTGGAGCTGACCACCAAACAACTGTTCAACAAAATTTCAAGTTAATTAAGTGAAGTGCTTTGTTGGCTGTAAAATATCTAAAACAGAATCAATATCATAATTATATGGTTGTAATTAAGAATGTGATTAGAGAACGAACTTTGTGTGTTATAATCATCTGAGTATGGATTTCTGAAATCGTTAATTAGTTTAAAATGTTCAAGAACTCTTGTATCAATTTTTCTACCACTTTTCCCAACAAACTGAACAGAACAATTTGGTTGTGAAGAAGAAATTCTATAAACACCTGATTTATGGGTGATTGCTACTTTATCTTTAGTATTGACTAAAGATTTGGAAAAAGGATCCATAGTACTATGGATCCATAGTATTTAATCTGTGTCCATAGTATGGATAGTGTTATTGATTTTCATCAAGTGAGTCAGAGTCATAATAATTTTAAACTTCATTCTTTGAAGTGTTCAAATGATACCGTGCTGTATTAATTAAGAGGAAGTAATCAGGAGGACTTTCTTTCAGTTTGTGTCTGAAAGTTACTTCTTTGCATGATCTACACATCCATGTATAGAGTTACTTATTTTCAAATTAACTACTTCCTTCCTTTCTTTGGAAGATTCCCTCATCCATTTTTTGTATCAAGATGGAGTAACAGAAAGCCAAAAACTTTCTTTCCCAAAAATTAATCACTACTAAAAATATAACCCCTTCAATTCAAATAAGATTCCTCTTGGCTGGGATTAAATCAAATAGGTGAATGAATGTCATTACGACGTCATCGATGACATAGGCAGATCAAGCTTATTCCGTGATATTAAAAATCGTAATTCATGAATTAATTGTGCGTATTTTCTATAATTTTATCCAATTTGGTGCTGAAAAACCTTGGGGCAAGTGTCTTGAAACATTGGTGTATACCAGTGAGGATGACAGTGTTCCATGTAAGTGCAATTTGTTCCATGTGAATGATATCTGATTTTTATTCCACAACGAATGTTTGAAATACAAACTGAGTAGAGAAAACTATCTTCTGTATAATTCAGTGTTCATATAGAAGTATTTGTTTCGAAAGAATGTTTTCTTTCGTGTAATTCAATGTTTATATGAAAGCTGTTTCAGGAGGACTTTCTTTCAGTTTGGGTCTGAAAGTTACTTCTTTGCATGATCTACACATCCATGTATAGAGTTACTTATTTTCAAATTGATTACTTCCTTCCTTTCTTTGTGGAAGATTCCCTCATCCATTTTTTGTATCAACATGGAGTGGTAGAAAGCCAAAAACTTTCTTTCCCAAAAAGTATTCTTCTATTGTTAGTTTCTTCTCTTTTCAGATTTTTTATTATTCCTCAAGTATTTATAGTTTTTGAGTTATTATTGAAAAACTAAATACATTCTCAACTCGTTATCTTAACTTGTTAATAACAATCGCAATCACCTTTGTGCTGTAAAATAATTTGGAGACGTTTTTTTACGTCATCCGAGTTATCACCAATATTTTTAGGAGCTTTATCTCTATTGAAAAAAATTTCAACTTTGAAATATTTTTGTTTTCGTATTTATAATTCAGTTATATCGTTACTGTAGACGATGTTTTGAAATCCTAAGAACGATATAATAATATATTTAGTGCCCATCTAAAATAACATTACAACGTTTTTCAAAATAAAGCACACTATTCGACACGCATGCGAATGGATGTTGGTTAAGATCACGAATTTGCGTTCGCAGCTTTTTTAGAAGATCGATTGATTTGTTGGTCAAATAAAAAGAGAGTTATTTTATTTTTTTAATGAATTCACTTCACAAATGGAATATTAATCGTTTCTTATTTCTGTTAGGGAATGGAGGATAAGTCATGTCTTGAGCCACCATTTACACACGAATACAATAGATGATTTGGAGATTTCGTTATTGGAGCCCTTATTACAGTATCTTCCAACGAAGAAATCTTCTCTTCAACGAAATGGTTCCATTTTAATCGCTCCTTTTTTGTGGATCACCTACTTTTGGATACCACTAATTAGAAGGTGAGATTGGGATGTTGTGCCATCAATTCACTCAGTGCATTTCAGTCAGAAGAAGTCATCCCGAATCAGTCATTTGATACTGAGTCTATAGAGAAATTGTGAAACATTTTAACATTCAGGGCGCTTCAAGAGGAAGATTAAACTTCAATCTTCTTGGTGATTGAAAATTTGATTTTCCTCTCGAATATGATGGTGATTGAACCATTATTTTTAACACCTCGACACGTGTAGCAATCACCAAGTGATCATCTTCAAGAGGAAGATTAAACTTTAATCTTCTTGGCGATTGAAAGTTTGATCTTCCTCTTGAATATGATCACTTGGTGATTGTAGTTTGATATTCGTCTTGAAGATGATGGTGATTGAACCGTTATTTTGAACACCTCGACACGTGTAGCAATCACCAAGTGATCATCTTCAAGAGGAAGATTAAACTTTAATCTTCTTGGTGATTGAAAGTTTAATCTTCCACTTGAATATGATGATGATTGAACCATTATTTTCAACACTTCGACACGTGTTTCAATCACCAAGTGATCATCTTCAAGAGGAAGATTAAACTTTAATCTTCTTGGTGATTGAAAGTTTGATCTTCCTCTTGAATATGATGATTGAACCATTATTTTTAACACTTCGACACGTGTTTCAATCACCAAGTGATCATCTTCAAGAGGAAGATTAAACTTTAACCTTCTTGGCGATTGAAAGTTTGATCTTCCTCTTGAATATGATCACTTGGTGATTGTAGTTTGATATTCGTCTTGAAGATGATGGTGATTGAACCGTTATTTTGAACACCTCGACACGTGTAGCAATCACCAAGTGATCATCTTCAAGAGGAAGATTAAACTTTAATCTTCTTGGTGATTGAAAGTTTGATCTTCCTCTTGAATATGATGGTGATTGAACCATTATTTTTAACACCTCGACACGTGTTTCAATCACCAAGTGATCATCTTCAAGAGAAAGATTAAACTTTAATCTTCTTGGTGATTGAAAGTTTGATCTTCCTCTTGAATATGATGATTGAACCACTATTTTTAACACTTCGACACGTGTTTCAATCGACAAGTGATCATCTTCAAGAGGAAGATTAAACTTTAATCTTCTTGATGATTGAAAGGTTGATCTTCCTCTTGAATATGATCACTTGGTGATTGTAGTTTGATCTTCCTCTTGAATATGATGATGATTGAACCATTATTTTTAACAGCTCGACACGTGTAGCAATGACCAAGTGGTCACCTTCAAGAGCAAGATTAATTTTTTGAAGATGATCACTTGGTGATTTGAAACACGTGTATAGGTGTTAAAATTGAGGTTTGGTGTTGTGGATGGAACTCCAGTATTATTCATTACTACATCAGAGGTTCCAAACACATCACAAATATCAAATATATTCATAATTTTTTTTAGGTTAGCTGATGCTCCTAAGCATGAATTTAGAAATCTGAAAATTACCGACCTATCGTCACTAATTCTACCAATTTCTATGTATATCTTTGGAGGACAACCGATTTTAGCTACAATAGGAATGTGGGTTTTCATCATTTCTGTTTCCTCATGCCATTTTGCTTTCGTTGGACTTCATGCGGCACATCACCACCCGGATATTTTCCATGATGGGGACACTCCAAGGTCAGTTCATTAAAAATATTGGACCCATAAATGTTTGACTCATTTTTTCAATGAAAATATTGAAGTGTTGAGGTGAGAACTTCATTGGTGGATGTTGACGAATCGAAATTTTCACAGGGCCAAAGAAAACTACGACTGGGGTTTGAGTCAGCTGGATGCTGTAATGGATCGAAAAGAAATAACGGGATCCCAGTTTCTGGTGCTGACGAATTTTGGAGACCACGCCCTGCACCATTTGTTCCCCACATTAGACCATGGTGCCTTGGAACATTTATATCCAGTGTTCGAAGAGGTCCTCAAGAAGTTTGGTGCTCATCTCCGAATGGTTTCACAATGGGATACCGTGTGTGGCGGTTTCCAACAACTCAGGAGAGAAATACCAAATCCTAGTCCGCCAAACTTGGAGAAGCATGCCCTAAAAAAATAGGTTTTTGCCACATCTAGGCAAATATTACGGCAATACCCATTTGTGACATTCATTGTATTGTATTGAGGTTATCTTTTGTAGTATATTTTGTTATATTGTCAGGACACTGACACAGAAAGGGTACCGTCAACTCTTTAAATCCAGATATTGTTGAAAATAATAAATGTTATATATTTACTCTGCTTACTTTCTGAACTCCTGTATTACCCTTCAATTCTTCTCTCATCCTTTTCTTCTCCTTTTTTATTGAGATGTACAATAATGGAAAACCATCAAAATTCTCCGAGATCGGTGCCTGCGCGAAATAACGATTTACAAGGGATTCAAATCGCTCTAGACATATTATGGAGTACGGTTTCTTACGGTAATAATCTATATTTCATGATAATTGGTGCGCCATCTATTGAGGAACTTAACAAGGTTTAGGCAAAAAAATTTTGTATCAGTTTTCATCGGTAGATGTCTATGACATTTTGAATAAAAGTACAATTCTGCTCAGGGTATTTATCTCCACCTGCCTAGTGAATGAGTAATGAGCAAAAAGCATAGGAATCCTGCTGCTTTGATGAAAGCAAACGGCATTCTAATCATTCAACTAGTAAAAATTGAATGATGAGTTGAATATTACTTACCACCTTACGATAATACGTTCAAAATTTGTCAATAATGTTTGTTTTCTTCTTAACAACGTATTTGTCAAAATCTATAGTTCATAAGAGTTGGTGCGCCATCTATTGATCAATTTAACAAGCTCAAAGTAACAAGTTCTTGTGTCAGTTTTCATCGGTAGATGTCTAAGACATCTTAAATAAAAGCACTATTCTGCTCAGGGTATTTTTTTCTCTACCTTTGTATATAGGGAATGGTCTATATACAAAATCTTTACTCACACAGTGAATGAGTGTTTAGTATATAATGATGTTGTATAATAAGCAAAATGCATAGGAACCCTGCTGTTTTGACTAAAGTAAGCGGAACAATGAGTTGAGTACTACTCACCACCTCACGATAATACGTCCTGAATTTGTCAATAATGTTGGTCCTCCTGAAAAGGTTTATGTCAAAATGGATACTTCGTGAGAGTTGGTGCGCCATCTATTGACCAATTCAACAAGGTCGAAGTAACAAGTTCTTGTGTCGGTTTTCATCGGTAGATGTCTATAACATATTGATTAAAACACAACTCTGCTTGAGGTATCTATTTCTAACTATATAGTTTATAAATAATATAATCATGTAGAATGAGCGAAATGTATAGGAACCCTGTTGTTTTGAACACATTCCTTAATGTGTAATGAAAGGTGTAATGAATATAGTGACTAGATAAAAGTACCATTCATTACATATTCCAATCGATGATAAAGACAAATATATTTCCTGCTCTAAATCTATTCTAATACATAAGTCGGGTAACAAAATAGAAGTGGAAAATTATAAGGCACGCTACACAATATACGTACATAATATATGTATACCTACGTTATTGATAAAAAAAATTCGTATACATTATCCACGTATTATCCCTAGGTGGACTTTTAGAAGTTATTTTAGGGTGAGAAATTTGTAGCACATTTTTGGATTACTTTGAACGGTGCTGATGGGAAATTTTCATCCAGTTTGTAACTGTAAAGTAATGAGTTTGCTCATGAAATAGCCTCAAAGGTGTGTCTGGTCATATAAATGAGATTTTTTAAAAATAATCATAGATAAAGTCATATTATTATCCTTGTTTATTGTCTCTCAAAATTTTTCTTGGCCAGCGTGAATTGCTTTCGATGAATTCAAAAGTTGCAGCTCTCCCATTAAAAGGAATGATTTCGATTTTCATTCATTGCAGATTAATTCTTTTCTACAAACGCTAAAACTGAATGAAACGCAGTAAAATTAATGAATGAAATGAGTGTCAGTATGTCAAATTGTCTGGCATTCTGTACACGCTTCTGATTTATAATCTAGTTCTGAGCGAAACAAAAAATGTAACTAATGATTTCCCATCTCCTCCGCAGGAAACGACAAATTTGGTTATAAATGTTTTTATGAGAATTTTACAATATGGATATGCCGACTACAATAATGCACTGTTCAGGTATCTATTTCCTTAATGATTTTGCAGAGTTTTATCGAATTCTTCGGATGAATTCTGTGTCATCCGGTAATTTATGGCTTTTTTCTTTTAATTACATCTATTTTTGAGTTCTGCAGGTGTCTGTGACTAATACCAGTGGCGTATCTACGTTGTTATACATTTGTAACAAAAAAGTGTATTTTGAGATTGTTCAAAAATCATACTTTCTGACTGTGACAGATTATTTTCACTCATATACAGTGGCGGACGTAAAAAGTGGCATCAAGAGGACACTAACAACTTTTTATTTCGAATAGAAAAGCTCCAATTAATGTAATATATTTAAATGCTCTCAAATTATCGAATATGTTTGACATGTTTAACTGCAGTAAGAGTGAATTAAGAAATAGATCTCGAGCACATCTATAATAGCAATTTGGGAAATCAATCATAGATGCAATCTTTTTCTTTTTATGTATTATTCATATCATCTTATGTATGTTGTAACACTATTATGTATATTGTTTTTGCTATCCTTCAAAAATTGCCTTGTGAATGGTTTCTGTTGGGCAATAAATGCTATATTATTATTATCAAAAGCTTAGTAATACAATAAATACGTGTTTTGTAATCCATTATTAGGATTTCATTAAATAAATGCATTATTTCAGTGATTTTATTTTCATCACGTCTGTACGCAATATTTTGTCCTGCTACCAATTAATTGATGGCAACCCTTTATTCGCAAATTCCTACAACAGAGATTTGTGTATGAACAACTCGATGGTAGGTATTTTAGCTACATGAAAAATGAATAGAGGAACACCAAGATATTTGTTCTTCATCTTGATCTTTCTTAGATTGACTGTTAGCAAAGCAGTAGCTTATGATTGTGTGTATGCTCCACATTTTCATTTCAGTTTTGCACAATGTGAAGAAATTATTTTAGCAATCATTGAGAGATCGAATGTGTGAAGAATAACTGGACCAAATTAGAATAATGCTATTCTCGATAATAATTGTTCCTAATGATACACGAATTATTCATGAACATAGTCTGATGAGATATTGTACGATGCGTTGCTTTGAATAATTTGAAATAATATCGAGTATACTTTCTATACATAATTTTTACATAAAATCCTACAACTCCTCATTGTTAACCAAGTCACGGACAAGTGACTAAAATGTTAAAACAGATGATAAACTACCAGGACAGGTCTGACTTATTGTGAATAGAAAATTCATTACAGTTTGAACTACGAGGGTCATTCAGAAAGTATTGATAATGAAGTCTCGGGGAGATATTCCCTTGCTGATAGTGATGCTATTACACATTCCAGAATTGAGGCAATGTCACATTTGTTTTCATCGATAAAATTGATAATGGATCAATTACACCTAGCACAGACATTCATATCGAAGAAATTTCAACTGGTTCTTCAATATCAGAGCAGGAACGACTATACGAGGTCTGTTAAAAAATGGGGTGAATTTTCATTTTTCTCCAAAAATATCGAACTTGGCGTGTTTTATTGATTATGGCTCTTCTGGGGTCTTCCATTGGAACGATTGATTGAACTTCAGTTTCGACGGTTAAAACCCATGACGACGGTTTTTCAGTCAAAACTAGGCAATTTGGAATGAACTTCGCTGCCACATGCTTCATGCCAACTTTTCATCATTTGATTTTTATTTTTTGTTCAATTGTTCTATTTTTACTTTTATTTTATTTCACTATCATTTCATTTCAGATATTTTTGATTAAAATAATTATTACTAACATACTACTACAGTAACTTCTATTCGGTCTTTTCTTACGGCGTTTTAATTTGGGGTAACTCTTCAAATAGTGAGAGAATATTCAAATTGCAGAAAAAAGTCATACGAATAATAGCTCAAGCTGGTTTCAAGGACCACTGCAGACCATTATTTAAAAAATGAAATATATTAACTCTACCATCAGTTTTTATATTACAATGCGTGATGTACATTAAAGAAAATGGCTATCACTATCTCTAAATTCATCATATCACTACTACAACACCAGAAATAAAAATTTATTGAGTATTCCCTACCATAGAATGAAAAGAACTCAGCAGCCAACAAATTATACTGCTCTGAAACTTTTCAATAAATTACCAAATGGACTAAAAAATGCTCCGATAAAAAGATTCAAAGCTTCAGTTATGGAAATTTTACTGTATAATGCTTTCTACAATCCCGACGAATTTTTTGACTTCTCTTTTGTAATACAACCATAATCCACTGAAATTGTTAATAATTTTGTTGAGAGTTTCTCAGATACTGTAAATGTCATGTACTGTTTGTCACTAAACTATATGTCGTTTACTTTTTCTATGTTTTACACTGAATCTACGTTCTATACATATAGTTATACCTCTGTTATGACAACCTTAAATGTACTTTATACATACTTGGGCTAATAAATTATGATTATGATTATGATTATGATTATTATTTTCAGCTATTCATTTGTAGTTCTGCTTTTTTAGTAGCTATTTCAATGATTTCAAATTATTTTATATATCAGACAATGGAAGTCCGAACTAGTGAAGGGAAACACGTATTCATTCAGTGAAAATATAGAAAATGAGAATATTTCAAATCCCATGAATTTCGAAAATAGCGTTAAAACTATTCTATACAAAAATGCCTTTTATTCACTTGATGAATATTTTCAAACTGATCTGGCTACTTGATATCACTATATTGTTTGCTTGTTTACTATTCTACTGTTTATACTATGTTTCTTTTTAATTGTTTCATATAATTATCTCCTACATTTACTATTGATTTAATTCTTTTATGTACTCTCATTATTTTCACATGTATTTTCCATATTTTATCAATTGTATTTTTCAACTCCAATCTTTACTTGCATCTCAGGAAAATAAAGTATCAGGAAAATAAAGTATTGTAGTGTATTATATATACACGTTTTTTAAAATCACAACAAAAAGTAGCTACTTTTCTCACTTCCAAGATTTTCAGAAATATTAAGGAAGTTATGGGTACTCTTTTAAGCAATTCGAAAGTCTTCAATTCCTTAATCTCAATGTGAAAATTTCAAATCGATATCATACAACAA